TAAGGGATATCGTTTCATAGATAAAAATAACCATTTCATTGTGTCTAGATCTGCTGTGTTCCATGAATACTCTAATTGGTCCAAAATACACCTTAACGAATTATGCCCCGAGTCAGAGAACACTACACCCACTCACAAAAAACTGAATTCACCAGTTACTGAGCCCAAGGTCATAAAGACAGGCAAACGCAATTACCCAAAGGAAATTAATGAGGAATGGAAAAAAGGGCATCCTATCTTAAAAGTAGACCCGTTAACTGAGAAGGAAGCAAAATTTATGCAAGGTGATGAATCTCCTCCTGATAGACCCATTAGATCAAATAGGGTACAATTCCAAAAAGATTTGATGACTATGTACTATCTCTCAATGCCAAAAAATTAACACCCAATACATATGATGACATACTTAAATTACCTCTGGAAGAGAAAACTAAATGGGAGGAAGCAATGAAAAAGGAGATAGATAGTTTGAAGGAACTAAATGTGTACACACCAGCAGATCCCCCTGCAGATAAGTCCCCCATTGGTACTAAATGGATATTTAAAATCAAGGAGCTAGAAGATGACAAATTCCTGTATAAAGCTAGGTTAGTAGCTCAAGGATTTGCCCAAAGATTCCCTTATGACTACAAAGACACATACTCTCCTACTGTTAGAGCAGAGAGTATAAAGACTGCATTAGTACTAGCTTCCATTTTAAATTTAGACGTGTATCAGTTTGATGTACAAACTGCATATCTACATGCTAATCTTGATAAGGAAATATATGTAAAGGCACCCCCAGGAAAGAATACAAAAAAAGGAGAAATTTGGTTGTTAAAAAAGAGTTTATACGGATTAAAACAGTCTGGTAAACGATGGTATGAATGTCTGTCAAAAATACTTAAAGATATGGGTTTTATAGCTACTTCATCGGATCTATGTTTTTTCACTAAAAGAAAGAATAATTCTATTGAATATGTACTAATCTATGTTGACGACATATTGTATTTCAGACAAGATAAAATCAAATGTGATGAATTTGCTGAACAATTGGGTAAACACTTCAACTTAAAAATATTAGGAAAAGTAAATAAATATTTAGGAGTCCAAATTGATACAACCGATAAGGGGTTCAAATTATCCCAAAAAGAAAAAAATTATAGAATTTATACAAAAGTGCAATATGATAAACTCAAAAACTTGCGAGACCCCCATGTCAACTGATTTCACTAGAAACATGCACGACAAACACGAGCCATTTAAAGAAAACACTTTGTATAGATCTATTATTGGATCATTACTGTATATTTCTAATTGGACCAGACCAGATATCACTCTTGCTGTTAATCTATTGTCAAGACACGTAAGCAGCCCTAGCGTATATCACTGGGAAGGAATCAAAAGAATTCTAAGGTATCTAAAATTTAGTGCTGATGTCTGTTTATATCTAGAACCATTTATTTCAGAAAAGCCCACTTTGACCTGTTATGCTGATGCAGATTGGGCTGGAGACCCAAAGAGTCAAAAAAGTACCTCCGGTTATGTTTTCCTTATAAATGGTTGCACGGTACATTGGTATATTGGCAAACAAAATTTAATTGCCACCTCTACAGCAGAAGCCGAATACGTTTGCCTATCTAAAGCAGTCAATAACCTAACCTGGTTTGATGATTTGTTGTCTAATATATGGGCTGAACCCATTTATCCCATTATCATCAATGAAGATAATAAAGCAGCAATAGATATATCAGCTTCCGAGGCAATAGGCCAAAGATCTCGACATATCGATATCAAATATAAACATGTGAGACAATTATCGAGTATAGGATTTATTAAAGCTGTTCATTGCGATACGAGTGAACAAATTGCTGACATTCTTACTAAACCCTTAGCAACCAAACAACATGTATATTTGACTTCTAAATTTAATGTACATATCTAAAATCAGTAATTTATTATTAGTTAGGTATTTTAGAGGGGGATTTGTTACAATTGAAAATACCTAACCTGTTTTCTGTAAATATGTATATTTGTATATATGTTAAATGTATGATGTCACTATGCTCCTTCCCATTGGTCCCTACTTACCTTTTGCCCCGCCTCCTCTGTATATAAATTGATGCTCCTGTCAGAGCCCCTGCTGTCCAAATGTAATCCTGAGGAAGACAAGAAATAAATAAATACCCTTGTTATAAGAAAGCCTCCAGTCTATTATATTGGGCCTAACCAGAATAATCAAATAAGTAACATCCTCCCTCCCGGCAAGGCATTCAAACCTTTCACAGCTTTTGCAGCTCTCTTCAGCTTTTCTCAGTAATTGCAGAGCCTGTGCGACCAGAAGATTTTCTTTCTGCTCTTGCTGCCAGGCAGCTGCTCCACCTCAGCGTCTGGTAGTTGTTACTCCTTGGGGAGTCTTCTCCAGCTCCGGTAACCTCCCCACGCCCATGGACCATTTGGCTCTCTCTGGCTCCAGTTGTAAATTAGCCATCCAGTCCGATGCTTCCCAGGCAGGCTGTGCAGATGAAGTTGCTGAGCCGGCTGCTCCCATCTGTTCCTGGTCACTGTCTTGGTCAGACATTGTTTGCTCAGCCCTTACGATAGTTTTCTGGGATGACTGTTAAACTCAGACCTTGCTTAATGTCAGGTTTGCCTCCTTTCAATACCCAAGAAAGAAAACCCCCGACTCCATTTTCATAGAGAAAGGTACTTTTACTGACTATGAACTGAATGCAACCAAAGGAAAGCAAGGTCTGAGGCAAAAGGCACGGAAAATATATATAGAAAGCATCCCCAAAACCCTTCCCCCAACCGTCCAGCGAAAATTATCCAATCCACATTTCCCCAGGGGTCATGTGGGGTGCAACGTCCGATGGTGCCATCCTCCTGCTCTGCCACGACGGTGGACCTTAAGTTGTTATCAGCTTCAAAGAAAACGCTGAAGAAAACTTTCTCTGCTCTTCTCCACCAGCTCATTTCCCCACTCCCAGACATTCCAATAGCTCCCCCCTCCCCCCATTACAATGGCAGCTGAGCAAGCAAGTAAAGAAAAAGCAAAGGCTGACATTCAGGCTGCTTTCACTTTTACTGCTTCACAGCTTGCCAACAAACCGGGGGGGGTGGGGTGGGGAAGGGAGGGAGAGATTGGAGTACTACATCCAGTTTTGGTCACCACACTATAAAAAAGATGTTGAGACTCTAGAAAAAGTGCAGAGAAGAGTGTTAGAGTTTGCAGCAATCCAACCAGCACACTATTAAAGAATTCAGCAGGATTTGTTTATATAAGAAATTTCTTTATATACAATACCATACAGCAGAAGCTAGAATCAGAAATCAGAATCCAGAAGTACAGAATCAATAATCACAGAAGCACTCAGATAGATAGATAGATAGATAGATAGATAGATAGATAGATAGATAGATAGATAGATAGATGATAGATAGATAGATGAACCTAAACCACGCCCAGGCTCCGAGCCATCTGGGTCACCAAACAGTCCCCATTGGCTGACCTGTTACCATGTCTATTCCAATTCATGAACTCTCACACACTGACAAAGAGCAACCAGGATGATTTTTTTACTTTTTTTTTTTTTACAAACATATCAATCAATGTGTGGACAATGTAGCGCCTGGGTGTCATACATTCTAATACAAATAGAAATAATAGCATTAGTTATTACTTTCAATCCAACATATATTTCTAATAGTAATACATATTTATATAAAGTTGCAATCGATCCTTATTCAATTATTCCATGTTTTCTCTTATTATTACTCTTATTTTATTATATTCTAATACAAATAAAACTGACATATTTAGTCATAATTATTACTTTCAATCCAATTTATATATTTCTAATAGTGATACATATTTATATAAAGTTGCACTCTTTCATTATTCAATTATTCCATGTTTTCTCTTATTATTACTCTTATTTTGTTATATAAAACTGTGTACACTAATATTCCCCTTTTCTCTTATTTCTATCTTATTCCAACTTTTAATCATATCATCCTTTGTTAAAAAAAACATTTTCTTTTTATCCTACCTAACTTCTAATCCTGTCACCTATCTACAAAAAAAAAGAAAGAAAGAAAAGAAAAGGAAAAAGGAAAAAAAGAAAAGAAAGAGAGAGGAAAAGGAAGGCAAATCAAAACAAACCCCAAAGATGGACATCATCTATCCATCATCTCTTGTCTGCTTCAATACTTTAATTGCTATGCTTTTTTTCTTTTTGAATTGTCTTCAATATTCCTCTCTAAGATCTTTATCTCTTTCTACATCTGCTTCTTAGCTGTTCAATCTGAGTATTTTTCCCACCTCTACCCTCCTCCTCCACTGCCTAGTTTCCAAGATTTCTGCCCATGCTCCTATCTCCCTTCCAAAGGTATCTTCCTGTATCTCCAATTCTCTTTTCAACTCCCTTAATATATTTTCCCCTGGTTTGATTCATCAATCACTGTTATTTTCTTTGTTGTCTCCTCTTTGTCTTCTTCTTTTATTTTCTGGTTCTTCATCTCAGTCTTTTCCACCATTTCTATTGTTAGCTCCTCCCTTTCCTGGGTGTCTTGATCTTTGCTCATCATCCCTTGTATAGCATTTTCCATAATCTCCTTAAATCCTTGCTCCATAATATCTTTGTGTTTTGAAAAACACAAAGATATCTCCTTCAATCTTTCATTTGTTTTTTTCCTTATAAAGCATCTTATTTTGTTTTTAAGAAAAAATTCCACTTTTATTCAACAGTCCAAGAGCTATTTATTCAGTCCTTAAGGTGTCCTTCAAGGGATGAGCTAATCACAGTTCTTTATATCCCAAAGATAGTCAGTTCCATTTGAATAGTCCCAGAAGTTATCAGAAGTCTTTCAGGGGTCCCTTTAATTAAGTAGCTTGCCTATTTTCATATTTAAATCTCTAGTCGTCCTGGGGTAGCTGGGGATAATCCAATAGATATTTTCACAGTTTTTTTCATAAGTATTTCTAAGCTTGTAGTTTTCCCATTTGTCAGCAGGTGGCACTCTCATCTTAGATTTCAATATTACCACTCGGCAATTATCATTTTAGTTATAAATCAATTATAAAAGCAGAATAAGTTTTATAGGTAAATGTCAGTGTGTGTGAGAGTTCATGACTGGGAAGACATGGTAACAAGGTCAGCCAATGAATAGACATGGCAACAAGGTCAGCCAATGGAGACTGTTTGCTGATTCAGACAGCTTAGCACTAGTCTGCTGAATTGAAACCAAAATGCTGCTGTTCTCTCCTCTGCCTGTGTTTGCTTGTACTCTCTACCACGTTGGAAGAATCAGCCATTGGTATTGTATATTTATTTTCATGTGTTCTATTATATATAAAGAGAAGTTAATGAATCCTGCTGAATCAGTTACCTGTGTGTGCTTTCTGGATGTGATTGCTGCTGCAACATCTGACAGTTAATAATTCCAGCATTGTAAAATGCCTTCCCAGTACTGTGTCTTCCCAATTCAAGAGTCCAATTTTCTATACATTTCAAAATTTATTATTTTTCTCTCTTGTGCCCTCCTCCTCCGGTCTGGTATTTCTCAGAATGCTTGAAGGTCACTTAAACAAATAGTTCTGAGCAAATAGTTCCAAATTATTCCTTGGGGTAAGTTTAAGGCAAAAAAAATAATCCTCTCCCCCTGTTCCAGTCACTGTTCACCTACTGCTGCTTCTTCTTGCCATGGCTGAGAGGGAAAGAACCCCCCCCGGGTCTGACAGGAGAGCTGTGTCTCTCTTCGAACACACAGGGTGCCCCTCTTTGCTTCACCACCCCTAGAGGGCAGCTTTGGCTCCTCTTGGAGCCCATGAACAGGAAGAACTCAGCACAGGGAACACAGAGACCCGTTCCCTGTGTCTGATATCACTGAACAGCAACCAGGATGATTAGGGGACTGGAGATTAACCATATGAAGAATGGTTGCAGGAACTGGGCATGGCTAGTCTAGTGAAGAGAAGGACTAGGGAAGACGTGATAGCAGTGTTCCAATATTTGAGGGCCTGCCACAGAGAGGAAGGGGTGAAGCTATTTTCCAAGGCACCTGAAGGACATACAAGGAATAATGGATGGAAACTGATCAAGGAGAGATTCAATTTAGAAATAAGGATAAATTTTCTGACAGTGAGAACAATCAACCACTGGAACAGCTTGCCTTTGGAAGTTGTGGGAGCTTAATCACTGGAGGCTTTCAAGAAGGGATTGGACTGCCATTTGTCAGAAATGGTATAGGGTCTCCTGCTTGGGTGGGGGTTGGACTAGATGATCTACAAGGTTCCTTCCAATTCTGTTAATCTGTAATCTGTAAACCCAATCTAACCCTTGGTTGATATGGAATAGGGTGAAGAGGAAGTGCTCTTCTCTACCTAAGAGAAGGTAGGTACAATGCTTGGAGAAAATCTAAGAGTTAGATAGAGAATTTAGACCTGCCTACCAATAGCAACTGCACATAAGGTTCACACTACAATATCCATTTTAAAGCAAACAGAAAAATATATAATGTAAGCCATGATTTTGTTTCCTTCAAACACAGCTTCTCCTGTGTAGCAACCCAGCTTATGTATACATCAGCAGGATACATTTAGATATGATTCTCTTTGCAAATTCATTTCCTCCCTCATTTTATTTATGTAGTTTCTCTGTATGGGCAGATGGGCTGTCATCTTCCAGGTTATCTTTCCCACTCGTCTACAATTTATAACAGTATGTTTGTTCTTCAGAGGTTTATTATTCTTATGACTGATATCTAATCCAATATCTGAGTAATAACAGTGTCTGGCTCCTATTATAATTTGCAATGACAATGCTACCCTCTTCAGTGTACATTTGGTTAACGTCAGTTGCTGCAACAGCCTGTCCCTCTTCACCCCAGCTAAAAGGATTTCAGATGATTGATTCAAAGCATTTCCATCCTACTCTTCAGCCAGTTGGCCTTGATGTTACCATCAATTTACAATTCAATAATTTATCAATATAACTGAGCTGTTTGTGCCTGTGAATATATAACCTGTTTATATATATAAAAAAGCAAATCTGAAGCAATTTTAGCTTTTTTCTTCTTTTATAATTGTGTCTATTTTTTTCTTTATTTTTCTGGATTTAGTTAATAAAAGAATGGAGGGGAGGGGGAAGAAGGCCACCTCTGCATTTATATTTACACTCTAAAGCAAACAATAACAAAAGGAAAAAGAAATGGGGAGGGAAGAGGAAAATAACCCAAATCAGGGCCAATTCTTAAGGTTCTATAGAACCTTTTGTTATGTCCTTATAAGGACATCCGCCGGGGATTGGCTAATCCACCGGCGGGAGATTCAAACAACTGTCATTGGACGGCTGAGGCTGCCGAAGCAAATAAAAGAGCTCCGGCAGCACAGCCGTCCGTCTTCATTCAGAGCTGAAATAAAGGTACTGAATGGACCAGAGCTGGTCGTATCTTCCTTTCCCTGCGCCGATCTAACACTGGCGACGAAGGTACCTAGGACCAAAGCAACGAACCTCATGGCACCCTGCCAACACCATAAAAGAGCTAGTCACTGAGCTGAAGTCACCGACTGAAGTCACCCGAAGCTATGGCAGCACCAGAAACCGCATTGCTGACACTAGCCCCTTTCCATCCAGGAAAGGAAAAATGGACATCCTATATGATCCGGTTTCGCCAGTTCCTGAGGGGCAACAACATCTGAGATGTGGACAACGACCGCAGAAGAGCCCTGTTCCTGGCCCACTGTGGCACCGAAGTCCTGGAGATGGCCGTTGACCTTGTGGCGCCGAGGGACATCGAAGAGATGTCATGGATGGATCTGCAGCAAGTGCTCCAAGACCACTACGCACTGACGGGAACCCCGGTTGCCAACCGATTCACCTTCCACCAGAGGGACCAACGTGAAGGCGAATCCATCAAAGAATTCGTGGCCGCCCTGCGCCAAATCACAGCCAACTGCGAATTCGACAATGTGGACAATGCCATCAGTGACCGCATTGTGTTTGGTATGAGAAACAGGGCCCTCCAGAAAAAATTCTTGAGCAGAAAGAAGTTAGTGCTCAAGGATGTTGTGGAAGAAGCCACAGCTGCCGAAACATCCGAAAAAGCGGCAGTCGCGATGCTAAGAGCCAAAGGGATCCACAAGATCCAGAGGGCACCCCAGTCTTCCACAGAGGAGTCAGCTGCCAGATTGGATTCGGAGGAAGAGATGGCCGTGCATAAGGTCTCCAGACCCCCGAGGCGGGAAACCGCTCAAAATGGCGATCGGGGGGAGCATTGTGCCAGCTGCAGAGGAGACCATGCCAGGGCCAAGTGCAGGTGGAGAGATGCGACTTGCAGACACTGCAACAAGAGGGGTCACATCGCCAAAGCCTGCAGAGCCGAGGATCCAGCCCCAGAACCGTCCAGCCACCGGCCGTGTGAAAATCGCGACGACTACGCGAGATCATCTAGACAGTCCTACTACCAGCCCAGACGGGGAGAAAGTGACGGCGGCCGGAGGAAAGCAGTCCATCAGACAACCATAGACCACTCAGACGACGACAACACCACCAAGTGCCACGTGACGGTGCACGTGGAAGGAACCCCATGTTCCATGGAAGTAGACTCGGGATCAATCTACCCCATTATGGACTGGCAGCAGCTGAAGCACCTCAAGCCTGGAGTCTCCAAGAGAGATCTGAAGCCCTTACGGTCAAGGCTGGTCGATTTTGGAGGAAACCCGATCGGAGTCCTGGGAAGAACGTCACTGCGGATTTCCTACCACAACTTCCAGGGCGACCTCCCCATCACCATTGTCCAGAACAGCCGCCCGAACCTACTAGGCATGGAATGGTTCAAGCCACTAGGGCTCGAGATCAGAGGGGTTCACCAAATCTGACAGGACGAACTCGACACTCTCCTCGAAGAGTTCAAGGAAGTCTTCGATGGTAAGCTGGGGAAATTTGTGGGGAAGCCCATTTCCTTCAATCTAGATAAGGCAATTACACCAATTAGGCTTAAGCCCCGCAGAGTTCCGTTTGCCTTGAGGCCCAAAGTAGATGCTCAGCTAGATAAGCTGATCACCCAAGGTGTATTGGAGCCAATCGATCATGCAGCATGGGAGACCCCCATTGTGACCCCCATGAAGCATGATGGATCTGTGCGCATCTGTGCCGACTATAAATGTTCAATCAACAAGGCTTTGCAACAGAGTGCATACCCAGTTCCAGTGGTGCAACATCTGCTGCATTCACTAGGGAGTGGGTCAATATTTGCCAAACTGGACCTGGCCCAGGCTTACCAGCAACTGCCAGTAGATGAAAAAACAGTGGTGGCACAAACAATTGTCACCCACCGGAGCGCATTTAAATGTAACCGTCTCCAATTTGGAGTCAGCACAGCCCCAGGAATTTTTCAATCTATGATGGAACGCCTTCTTCAAGGCATTCCAGGGGTGGTGCCGTACTTCAATAATGTCTTAATCTCCGGCCACTCTAAAACTCAGCTACTTGAGCGACTGAAGTTAGTTCTGCAGCGCTTTAAGGAGAAGGGTTTGAAAGTCAGGAGAGACAAGTGCATCATTGGGGTCCAGGAGGTCGAGTTCCTGGGCTATCTCATTGATAGAACTGGCATCCACCCCACCAAATCTAAAGTTAAGGCTATCCATGAAACTCCAGCCCCCAAAAACAAAGCAGAGTTTCAGGCTTTCTTGGGACTACTGAATTTTTACAGTGTCTTTTTAAAACAGAAAGCCACAGCTGCTGAACCACTCCATCGCCTGTTGGGGAAAGCGGTTCCGTGGAAATGGGGGACAGAGGAGGAAACAGCCTTCAAAAACATCAAAGGACTGCTCTCTTCAGACAGCGTCTTAATGCAATATCATGAGACGCTGCCCCTCCTGCTGACCTGTGACGCATCACCATACGGGATATTGGAGCAGTCCTCAATCATCAACTCCCAAATGGAACAGAGGCACCCATCGCCTACTTCTCAAAAACGATGTCCAGCACCAAAAGGAACTATAGTCAGCTGGACAAGGAAGCCTTGGCCATCATCGCGGGCATCAAGCGCTTCCATGAGTACCTGTATCGTCGGAACTTTACAGTTATCACAGACCATAAGCCACTGTTGGGACTATTCGCGGGCAACAAACCCACACCAAGCTACATGTCATCCAGGATGACATGGTGGGCAATCTTCCTTGCCGGGTACTCATACACACTAACCCACAGACCTGGCAAGACCATTGGAAACACCGATGCCCTTAGTAGATGCCCATCCCAGGAGCCGGTGGAAGACCCAGCCCCCACACTCGGACTATTCCACATTGACAATGA